TTATTATTATTATTATTATTATTAATAATATTGTTATTATTCTTTTATTTTGCAGACAAAGGAACAGGGATACCGGATCTGTCAAGACCCATCAATACAAACGAGCGATTTTATTCTGTGGTGCGCTCTCAGTTAGGGCAGCATTCACTAGGTAAGCTGGACAATCAAATACTGGAAAAATGTATGTCTAAATTACTGCTGAGCGGTTAATTACCCTCTCAGGTTTTAAAGAATGAATTAATGCTTTTGATTCTGGATTCAGATATCATGTAGCAGTAGATGTGCATTCCAAACGCAATTTCGCTTTGTTCCATACGAAGGTATCCAGAATGCTTTATTCACGACTCAGTGGAATCAGAAGCACGTCAATTTTTGGACATAGGAAGTGATTGATATAATCTTATAGCCTATTGATTTGCGTTGCATTTGCTTTAAGAATTACTCATCTATCGTGAATGCAGGTTGATTAATTTGCGTTTCATAGAGGTAAGGGTCGAATTGTAGCAGAGGTAAAATTATTGAGAAAATGGCTGCCAAATTTTGGCAATTTTCAAAGCTTGAGAGTCTTTACAAACTGCAAATTTACATTTTTGAGCCTTATGATCAACGTTTATAGGAAAATCGACTCGGAAATATGCTTTTAGTTGCTTCAGAAGCCGTTTTACTGCGCTCACAACTGCATAATGAGGTCGTATGAGCGCGCAGAACACGCGTTGGGTGCATTCACTACAATTTATACCACGGCTTGGTTTAGATGAAAATTTCGATTAAAACGTTAAAAATTTATGGAAAAAATCTCTTTTTTAAAATAACATTTTAAATATTTTTTTAAAAATAACACTGTGAATAATTAAATTGTGAAGGCCAATGACCTTCATAAAATCGAGAACTCTGTTGGGATCAACGACAGAGAACAGATTTTTAAATTTTTTTTTGGTATTTAAAGTACTCTCCTCGGGTCTCTCCGAAGTCTGGACATTCTGTTAAAATGTGTCTAATGCTCAAATCTGTGTCGCATCCCCCTACATAGAACGGTTTTTCATCTCCCTGAAGGAGGTATTTATGTGTCAAGGAGGTGTGTCCGATGCATAATCGAGTAAAATTGACTTCCTCTTTTCTGGAACGGCCGAAGGTTTTCATGGACCCAGTTTGGGCCTGATGTCATGAAGTATATTGTTAATTTCTTTCTTTCAAGGTGTCTCCCACAGACTGGAGGTGTAGTTTTTTACTTTATTTTTTAAGTCAATCTGTGGGAGAGTGTTTGTCATTGATCCCAACAAAAAGGGACATTGATTCCTTTCCCAGGAAACCCACTTGCTCGTTACCTCGGATGCCCACATGGCTAGGTAGCCATACGAACACGATACTTTTCCCGGTTTTTAGTCAAAGCATGTATTTTTGTTGAAACCTAAATATTTTGTTGTGTGACAGTGTGTAGTGTGTAGTGTGTTAGTGAAGTGATGTATAGACAGAAAATCAGATAAGATAAGGAAAAGTTTATTAGGGGAATTTTCTACGAAGTCAAGTGCCATGTCAATGAGCATTTACCAAAGACACTTGAACTTTGGGATTCCCCACACTTTGAAAGGCATTTTTCGATAATTTTACCTGACAACAGGAAACCCTCACCTCCTTAAATCGCAAAAATCTCGACTTCCAATCAAGACGGATGCATATCCTATTCATAAAAAAATATGACAAATGAACAAACTTTGAGATTACACTAATAACTCCATGCTCCCAAAAATTGGCGAGCGCCTGATTCGACCGAGTCATGAGTCATCATGACAATGTATCGTTTCATGCGGTGCCAAATTGACAACAAAAGTAAAACTATAAATGTCAGTAGGTGCACGACCATCATATTACCATGCTCTAACTTGCGTCTCTTTGCAGTGTGCCGGGGGGAGGTGGACTGTGTGGATGTCAATCAAGAAGAAGGGAATAGGTACGTGGAGCTTAAGATTAAAAAGATCCGAGAAGACCCCAGGGGGGACGTGAATTTCCTGAGGTAAGTAAGCCTACTTATCGATAGTTTGTCTTATTTGTTTCTTCTCTGACTTCTTACTGAACACAAATTGTAAAAGGTGAATTTTATTTTGAAAGGGCGGTTTTGATTTATGGACATGAAATTGAACTGGCAAATTCATGTTGTCACTGATTTCTGTCTAATAAAAAATTAATTTATTGTGGTAGAATGAAGAAATAGGGAATTGGGTTGTAGAGAGAGGGTGTGATTAGAACTACGCGAAAAGTGTGGTCAAAAATCATTCTCAACTTATTCTTAAATAACTTTTTAACCCGTGAATCAATGTCACCCATACTTTGCACAGCAGTTCGTATCAATTCATCATAACTTAATTTTATTTTCCTGCAACAGTTGAGGTTAGATTTTAAAAAACCAAAATTTTCGTCATAACTTTATATAAATGTTACAAGTCTCCGTTCTGTGGAGAATGAATTGTTCACAGCACTTCCCACTTCTCACACATTGCGGACGCATCAGTCTACTTCATTGCTAACCAATGAAACTCTTTAGTGGCATATCTTGTTTAAAAATTATTTTTAAAAAAATAATAAACACGGTGGTTTTTTTTGCACCAAAGGTTCTCAAAACCTGCGTTCTATAAGCGCAGTGTCACGATTATTTTCTTAAGCCGAAAGTAAATACTTTGGCTGAGCTGGCTTATTTGGGAGGACATACACATAACATAGTCCAACTGAACCCCCAGATTTTTAAGACTTTTTTTGAACGAATGGTATGGTTATTATTATCAATGTGTAGTTCTTGGAGGTTTCTAATGGCTTTTGTATTTCCACTCAACGTTATTTCCGTCTTGTCATCATTTAGTTTCAATTTATTGCTGGTCGTCCATATTTTTAAATCTCTAGTACATTGTTCAATAGAGTCGACTAAATGGTATTTGTTCTTAATCAAAAGACGTATAAATTTGAGTGTCATCTGCATAAAGATGGTAATTCATGCCGTATTGTCTTAAACTATCAGCAATAGGTTGTGTATATAGTGTACCCTTGAGGAACACCACATCTAAGCAAAACATTATCAGAACACTTTCTTCCAACCACAACTGCTTGTGTTCGATTTTTAAAATATGACTCAAACAAATCAGGTCATTACCCTTTATGCTAAGAGTAGTATTTAATCTCTCGAGTAAAATGTCATGATCAATTTTATCGAATGCAGCAGAAAGGACCAAAAGAGTAAGAAGACACACCTTTTTTCATCGATATATTTTAAAATATCAGTACAGGCCCTAAATAACGCTGTCTCAGTACTATGGTGTGCCTTATATGCTGACTGATAGACTTCGCTAAGATTATTTGTGTTTTTTTTGGATAGGAAAGAAAGATTTGAAACTGGTCTAAAAAAATTTAAGTCTTTTTCATCAAGTCCAGTTTTTTTCAAAAGGGGTCTAACATGTGCTGTCTTAAAGCAATTTGGTACTGTGCCTGTGAGGAGAGAATCATTTACAATTTGGGTGATATGTGGAAGAAGTTCATGCAAACATTTTTTAGAAGGCTGGTGGGCATGGGGTCTAAATAAGGCGCAACTTTTTGATGGAGTAATATGATATTTTTGATTTCTTCTTCCGTTGCTGGAGTAAAATAATCGATGACTAGCCCCTTCAACTGATGGTAATTTGGGACAATTGTAACAAAGTGAAGTCAGAGGGCTCGTGGCTCGTAAATACCAGGTGAAACTAGTACACTGGACGCCGCTACCGGCGCGAGGAGCGTAATTACAACTGGACGCCACCACCTAGGACGGCATATTGAGGGACAGGGAACCTTAGAGTTGGGCGTATTTATAACACCTTGCTGCCTCAAAATCAGTGAAGTCCCTGATTTGTAAGATCACGAAGACCGATATGAGGAGTGTCTCTTACGCGTTAATTGTAAACGCGTGAGAGTGCAAAACGATTTGGAGCGTTCAAAGCCCATACATTCTTGGGAACTGGGGAAAGAGGATACAACAATCCAGAAGGTACCTATTGAAGTCTGAATAATCAAAGTGGGATCATTACGACGCTTGGGCCTTATATACCGAGGATCCGAAGAGTTTGCAGTCAGTTTTAGTTAGTTTTTAGATTCGAACGCAGATCAGGGTTAGGAGAGACTAGCGTAGACTAGAGTACTGAGAGGACATAGAGGTAGGAGCTAGACCAGGTTAGGCGAAGGGTAGTGATAATATTCTTGTACACTGCTAGATAGTCGTCTGTTCGACAAATGTTATAACCAGTGTTTCAGGAAATAGTAGTTACCCTTCTGTAGATTATAGGTCCTCGAAGGTAGTAGCATGTTTTGTAAACGTCATACATTTCATTGTTGTTGATGATTAAATATATTCAAAAATATTACAGCGTGAAGTTTTCTTGTCATCTTTGACATAACCTATACGATCACGTGTCAGAGCGGTGTAACCAGTATAAGTATAACAACTACATCTTTTTAATACTGTAACACAATTGCGCACATTTTATTTAGCTTTTGCTTGATGGGGGTGATTTTTTAAAGAAACAAAGTCTGAAAAGCTACTACAAAGATCTCTATCGGTGCCAGGGGGTAATACTGCTCCGTTTTGGTTGCCAATGAGTTCACTAGAGACATCAAAAAGCTCCTTACAAGTTTTAACATTTTCAAATTTTGACAAAAAGAAAGTACGCTTGGTCTTGGTAATCATTTTACTAACAGAATTCTCCACCGTAATAAATATTTCCTTATGCACTTCAAGTCGTGTTTTTCTCCATTTTCTTTCCGCTTGTCTTTTTCCTTATTTTGCAGCCTTTATTTCTAAATTAAACCACCTACCAACAGGTCGATGAGATAATTTTCGTTTTTTAACTGGAGCATGATCATCTAAAATATTCCTCATGATGGTATTGAGAGTTTCTATATTAAAAGGGGAACTAATAGCAAGAGCATCACGAATGTCACATTGAAACTGGGGTAAATTTATATCGTTCAGATTCCGGGAATGAACGGTTTTTATTTCTTTCCCTGGTCTTTTGATGTTCAATTCAACAATCAGAAGAAAATAAATGATCGGAAATGTCTTTGTCCAGAACGTTTATGCCTTTCACACAGTTCTTTTCAATAGGGGAGATAACCCAGTCTAGGATGTGCTGACTTTTATGTGTTGGTACTTGTACGAGTTGTTTTAAATCATTTTCTGTCAGCTGGTTGCTTATATTTTTAGTGACAGGGTTCTCAGAGCCAAAGTGAAAATTAAAATCACCAGTTAAAATGAATGGTGCACTTTTCATCTTCCGAGTTGAAATTAAATTTAGAAATTCCTCCATAAAAAACGGATGGTTTGATATAATTTGCTTTACTCGGCGGTGGCCTGTATATGCAGCAGATGGTAATGCTTTGGGACTGCAGCTGGATTGACAATAGAGCAGCCTCGCATGAGTTACAGGGAATATTTTTCACTGTAACTTGTGCTAAATTAGCTCTATGAATAAATGCTACTCCCTTCCTATACGCCCGACACGAGGGAAAGACTTAATTAAATAACCAACTGGACATATTGCTGATAAAATTGCATCGTCACCGTACTCCTGCAACCATGATTCTGTCAAAGATAAAAGATCAAGGCTCATTTCAATAATTAAATCATTCAACTCGTCTGCTTTATTACGGCATGACCTGGTGTTGAGGCAAGCCACTCTGACATTTTGAATTACTTCTTGCAAAAAGTTTCGACTGTCGATTGTGACCAAATTATTAATGTTAATTCTGTTTTTCGGTGTGCTGCTGTGTTCGACATTTCTAAATCATAAACACTAGACTAAACACCACAGGGATTGTCCTTGTTTTCGTCGTCCACCTCTTTTCTTTCTTCTCGTTTTTTTCCACTTCACTGGTACAACACACGAACAAGGGCTTGAAGAAACACATGTATTCACACACTTGTTCCAGAGCACAGAGATGGAAACGAATCTGAGAACAGTTTTCACAAGACACTCAGTAGAAAAAATGTCTTTGTTGTTGTAAACGTTCGAGGGTTGACGGAGTGGAGACCTGAGAAAAAGAAAGAAAAAATGTCCAATAGAAAAATAGCAAGTCAATCATGGCGAATTAAAAACTGTTAATTTAATTGAAAATACTAACAATTTTTGTACAAATCCTACATCACCACATACACTGTCAAATGACGAATACACTGATATAAAAATCCAGTATATGAATAACTTAAAAATGCACTAGAAACTGTTATAATCGAGAGAGATTATGGAGCAGCCTGTCTGGCGCTCAACAGAACTGATTTGCATGGTAACGGGTCGAGTATGATGCTGTTTATCTTTTTTTATACTTGTAAGCTTATACATTTCCTCAGAGAGAGAAAGAGACAGACAGACACACACACACACACACACACACACACACACACACAGACAGACAGAGACCGTGATAATTTGTGAATTCACAAGATCTTGTGTGTCACGACTTGGGGCGTTACATGTGGAGTTGTTGACATCATTTTAAACTTAAAGATTGTTTTGTTTGTCTTGCTTTCGATGAAAAAAAATACCCACCAATCGTAAATGGAAGTCGAGATATTTGCTATTGAAAGAGGTGAGGTAGCCTGTTTTCAGAGGTAATATTAGTGAGAAAATGGCTGCCAAAAAGTGATGAATTCCGTAACCTGAGAGTTCTTTGAAAAGGACCATTTACTTTTTTTGGTACCTTAAAGCAACGTTTTTCCGTAAAAATCCATACAGAAATATGCTCTTAAATGAACATGAAAAGTTTTCATCCGAAAAACAAACATCATACGATAAAAACTGCCAAATTGATGGGAGAATGTCGGTTTCTTTGATTTCATGATTTTGACGAGCGCCTGATTAGACCACGATGCCACACATATAATATAAAATATTTTAATGTAAAACACACTACTATAACACACCAACTGTTGCTCTTGACTCAGATACAAATTGCTGCAGTGGTGGGCACAGAGCGTCTCAGGAGGGGTCCCTGTTGTTGTGTGTGGCTACTACTCCAAGGAGAACGACGTAGAGGCAATGGTCAAGAAGACTAAAACTTATAAAGTGAAGGACATGCCACAGAAGGCACAGGTAAATGTGGGTTTTTAAAAATGTTGCAGGTGATTTTATTGAGGGTGCTTTGGTGGAGCGGTTAGTGCGCTCGTCTTCGAAGCGGAGAGTCCGGGTTCGAACCTTGGTTTGAACTCAGATTTTTTCCGCTCCCTCCTGCCCACCCAGCAGTAATAAGTACCTGACTTCGATTTGGGAAAGTAAAGGCGGCGTGAAAAGGAAGTAGCCACCCGACCACAATATGCCGAAGGCCCAGGAAGTTGGATCACTAACAAGGAAATCCCCAATGTCCCGTTCGGAAGCGGGAACAACTTTACTTTATTTTTTTAGGTGATAGTACGCCCCCACCCACATAATTTAGATTATTCAGGAGGGGAACTCAACCCGGGTTGAGAGGGATACAATATCCCAGCAGAAAGCCTGAGATATGTGTGTATGTGTGTGTGATTTTGTGTGTGTGAATGTGTGTGTGTGTGTGTGTATGTGTGTGTGTGTGCGTGTGTGTGTTTGTGTGTGTTTGTTTAATGGTAAATATTACGCACTCAAGACAATCTTGTCCTTTTTAAGCAACAGACATGCCAAAGAAAAATGATTTTCATGTGGGTTCTTTCCACTAAGTTTGGCAATCGCTCTGTTTGCCGAGCTGAGTGACATCACCGCTGAGTGCACGATACGAAGTTGCGCATCGTGACAGCAGCTTGTAACAAAAACGTTGTGAGCCAGCGAGATAAACTGATATTTAGGAATTAGTTTATTTTACTTCTAACTTTCAACGGTATATATGTATTCTTATCAAAAGTGATATCTTATCTTATATACTTCTAAAATCCAACGTCCTACTGTATACATGATTTTTTAAAACAAACCTGTTACCAATGCTTCTAACTTCCAATAACTGTATCCATGTATTTCGAACAAACAGACCTTATTTTATACTTCGAACTTCCACCTTAATACATGTTTTTTTTAAACAAACATACCATATTTCATACGTCTAACTTCCAACTGTAAAATGTATTTTGAGCAAATATACCTTACTTTATAGGCCTACTTCTAACTTCCAACTGTACACTTGTATTTGAACAAACGTACTACCAAGGTTTATTCTTCTAACTTCCAACTTTTTACATGTATGATGAATGAACATGCGTAAATGTATGTTTCTAACTTAAAAGTATTAAAAATTCTTACACATGTGTACACATATGACAGATCTTGGCTGTCTCGATGAAAGGTTTTTTGGGTGCTCTGGTATTATTTGCGCCCTTTCTCCTATCAAAGATTAATTTCCTTACCTCTCCTCCTTCTTCTTTTGTATGTTTATTACGCTCGTGTCACACCGCTAATCTTCAGCACCAAAGACACCGTATTGTGTTTACAAGGGCTGTAAAAAACACTTTCTAAAGCATTTTATTATGACGGTTGGAAGCTTTTCTTGAAAACAGCTAACAACAACTACAAAGACACTCTCATTTCTCTCA